AAAATAGCAAGTATAACAAAAAGAACATAAAAACATTCACGCATTATTAAAAGCAAACATCACAGAAACTCGTCTTAACTAAAAATTTTTTTTTTGAGGATTATTACTCTGATACCATATTGTAACATCCTAAATTTTTTTAAGACATTATATAAAAATACCACCTTGATAGTATGTGACCATTTTTTTCCTGTGTATTTAAATAAAATAATTATTCATAATAATTTCTAAAAATTATAATTTAATAAAAATTATTAAAGTAAACTATTTAAGACATCTCAAATCTTCATCTCTAAAGTTTTAATATTAAAAAAATCTTCCTTACAAAATTACAAATTCAATTAAAAATCCAATTTCATTCCCACGAGCACATGTAACATCCGATCACGTCATATCAATATCAATTCATATCTTTAATTTCTCCATACATAACATGTTATTTGTAAGGGGTCAATCTTTCATCATCCATATCAAATCAAATAAAACATACAGTATTGTATTATAAAACAAATCATACAAACATAACAGTTTAAGCGAAATCGAATCCACAAAATTCTTATTCTACAATTATCTTTATGTGTGAATATGTATGCTCTTAAATCTAAATGATCTGAATATAAACCGCCACAAAGACAATCTGCCACAAGGGCAATCCACCACAAAGCAAAAAATTGCATATGCCATGAAATGTGAATACCCTCCACAAATTCTACAAACTATCATTAAAGCAAATTACTTTAAAATTTATTTCATAATCATCCATCTCCAAAAATAATCGACTAGAGCAATTCCTTTTATTCACATCACACTCACACACAATAATAAAAATCACAAACAATCAAAGTTATATTCGCATGACATCAGCATAACATTTGATTCACACCGCGAACACACATAATAATAACAAATCGCAAACAACTCAAGGTTTCATCCACATCACCTCATCACACTAAAAAATACAAGATATAAAATTAGTATTCTTATTTTTAACTTATCGAAATACTATATTTCAATTATCCTTTCTCTTTAGAATAAATTATATTTTATATTATTTTATTCTATAATACCTAACTATTAGTTTCGTTATACCAGTATGGGAAAGTGCCCTTACCTTAAACATTTTTCTTCCTAGTCGCATTTAAAGATCACCCCGAGCAAGATCATATCTTTATTATGATTTCACATATTGATTTGAGTTCACATGCATCCTTTTCGATCATTTATGAATAAACATTTAAAATACAATATTAAAATACACTAAAAACCAATTTCAAAACTAGGTAAAATAAAATTACCCCAAAATAGAATTCGAACTTGATGAAAATATCACTTACGTTCACTCGGTCATTTTGACGTTAATTTCGTGCAAATTAAAATTACAGTGATGAAGATACGCGCAAATTAAAAACATACTAAAATTTGAGACGAAATGGAGAAATTTTTTTCAACATCTTATTTGATTGCGGAACTTAATGCTATTTTTTTTTACTTGGTTGCAATTGATGAATCTGTGTGTTCTTAAATGACTTTAGCATAGCAATATTTACTGTAGTGCATTCATTTATGTTGATGACAAATAGGTTTATTTATTTACTTTAGTGTTTTAGTTAATTGACTTATGAATTTAACCCATTTGTTTAGTAACTTACACTTATTTATTTCTAACACTTAATTCAATTAAATTACAAATTTATTTATTTATTTATTTTGTTCATTCATAACTAAAATATTATTGATTATAGTACTATTATGTTTATAAAATTATTAAAATGATAAGTCTAATATTGACATTTAATGTTAATTATATATATATATATATATATATATATATATATATATATATATATATATATATATATATATATATATATATATATATATATATATATATATATATATATATATATATATATATATATATATATATATATATATATATATATATATATATATATATATATATATATATAATACCATAATATAATAAGTACACAAATAATTAAGATTAATTACAATATCACTAATTTATCAAGATAATTATTTATAAAATAATTAATTAAAATATGACGATTACTATAAATAATTAAATAAAATTATACACATAAGATAAGATAAGTTGTTGTATAAATAATAGATCACAGAATTTTTTAAAAGAATTTAAGGAATATATATTAAAATATCGGGATGTTACATTATGCGACAGGAAGTTATTAGCAACTCTCACATCCGTTGTACTCAATAAAAATCATTTAGTTAGGTTTGCAAACACGAGTATTAGCTTTTGTTTATTTGTTTCTATTTATTAAAAGTTAGAAAGGAAAAAGAAAAGGACTAAAAATAAGTTTTCTATTAGGGTGCTTCACAAGATTGCGAGTCTTGCTCATGCGTATCCTCAGATGCGATGAGTAATTCAAAGCTATGTAGTTCTTAGTAGGAAAAATATATTTTAAGATATTTTATTATAGTGTTTGATGAGACATTGAATCTCGCTCCTATGTATCCTATGTGCGATGAGGATTTCAAAGCTACGTAGTTCTTGGTAGCAAATGTTTTTTTGTTGGTGTTTAAAAAAATGATGTTCATGTCGCATTCTAGCGGTTAAACGTTTCTTGTATGCTCGCGCGTGGTAGGCTTAAGCATTTGTTTGTATTGCAATTAAAAAATGATAATATGATGAATGACTCAAACTCAAACTTGTATTTAGCAATTTTGTTTCCAAAATAACCAACAATTAACTTTTTACTTGTTTTAATGTTGACCTTACTTGACCTTTTATTTGATGAAAATGATTAATGATATGAGATGAATTTAAAAATAAAGAGCCTTCAAAACTAAATGTTGATTTTGACTTTGACTTTATTCATGGTGAATGTCATGCATGAAATGAATGATTCTAACATGATGCTTGAGATTACAACTAAATTAATTAGCTGGACCTAAAGTTGACTTTGAACGAATTGGGCTCAAATTGCATAAAGATGTGATTCAAAGACCATGAGATGATGTATGAGTTGGTAAATGAAGCCAAGACATAAGGACCTCTTATCTTAACATTAGATGAAAGTTAAATGTCTATAGCTAGATGATATGAAAAGGGGAGGGACAAAATTGGATTATGACATGTGTCTATTTTCTTTAATGTTATGCCACATATAAGACATTATCCTGGGAAAAGTATGGCAAGCCACTTCGGGGATGAGGCCCAACATCTCATTTGTTGACCATGCAAATAGATCATTTTTTATCGTAGGCACTTAGCCAATGCCTCTTCCACATACTAGGGCAAGCATGCTCCAATTTTATTAACATTTGAAGGGTCATCTCCTACACATATTATGATAACTCTCCTAGTGGCTCATGACTCTCTATTTTTCTTCTTGCTTCTACTAGTATAACTTCATTGTTCCCTATAATTTCTTTGAGGAACGATTCTTCTAACCATACATCTAATTCAATTAGCTCTTTAGGTTTTTCTTGTATGAAGGGAGGTGTTTCTTGGCCTAGAAGGTTAAGAAGCATGTAGGAGATGACACCAAATATGTCTCTAACACCACGAATTGGTTGTCTATGGTATGAAGTTTGGACTTTAGATAAGCGGTCAACGAGACTACTCTTAGGGTTATCAATGTCAATCTTCTAAGGATGGAGTTGTAGATACACTTGCACTCGATGATTAGGAACTTTACACTAATGATCCTCTTTGCTTTTCTGACCCCAAAGTCTGCTGAGAGTTCAACATATTTCAAAGGTTTTGTGATGGTCCCATCAAATCTTGGAGGCATCTCTCACAATATGGTTGCATCGTTGGTTGTAAACTCAACTTGTTGTATATTTTAGTGTACATGATACTGTACGAACTCCCTTGGTCCACTAACATGCGACAAACAACATTGCCTGACATTGCTACTATAATGAGAGTGTGTATGTGGTGGTTTTGGGTGTCAATAACTAGCTTAATACCTGCAAAATACTCTAACGCCCTATACAACTACTTGATTTTGACAGTTGTCCCTCTTTTTATAGGTGAATTTTAGGGTTTCTAAGAATCTATAATTTTCTTGTAAGGCAAGTGTTAAAGTATTATCGATCATATCATCTAACAGTTTTATTCAATCACATACTTTGATTAGGTGTATTTTTAAGGTGAAGTTTAAGGTGTTCCCAAGGTCCAATATCTTTCTTTTTGACTTGCTTTTCCTTATGATTTCTTGATCCAAGAGTCTGTTTAATGCCTTTCTTTTTAACTTACTTTCCCTTATGATTTCTGATCCAATAGTTCATTCATAAGGTTTTTATATCAGGTTAGGTCATCTTCCTTCTAGACTTGTTATTTCATTTGACCAATGTCATCCCGAAGGTAGACCATATCAAAATAGCTTATTACATTTTTCATAAATTTTTTAGAAACTTATTTTGATAGAAAAGTTACACTCACCTCCCTTGAGGTTTGTTAAAATGATAGAGTGCACTTCTTATAGTATTAAAATGTGCACATAACTTCTCTAAACATACATATACCGATATAAATTTTTAGTAACAGACAAAAAATCGTCTATAAATATCATTTCTCAAGAAAAATCAGTACATATTTTAAAACTAGAGGGAATCTCAGTGTCATTTTAATAAATTCTAAAAGAGGTGAGTGTAATTTCTCTATTTTTATAAAATTTTTATGATAATTTATGAAACAATTTATATCATTTATTAAAATAATTTAAAATAATTTTACTTTTTGTTATAAGAAATCATTTATGCAAACTCATTGATTAACAATTTATTTTAATTTAATCATCCTTAATTTAATCATAAAAAATCTCCTATTAAAAATAAACATCCAAATAACATGATCGTTATATTTTCACTTCTTTGATACAATAATTGGTATGACAAAAAAAGCAACTTACTAGAAAACTTCTCGGTTTTAACTAGAAATCAAATCTAAATTTCTAATAAAAGAAAGAGCAACACAACAACATCAAAAACAAAGTACATTGTTATTGTTATAATACAGAAAGTTGATTTTCTTGATCTTCATCTCCTTCCTCTATTTGGTGAAATTCTTTAATGGGATGCCGTTTTCTACACTCACAATAGAAAACCGTCATTATAACGTAACTCCATAGCACCACAAATCCATAACAAACTATAACAACCGCTTTATCTTCAAACGAATCCTCACCGTCTATCCTCGATCCGATCAAACCCGAAACCCACACAAATAAACCCGAAAGAATCCACCCGCAAACCCGGTTTCCCTCCATCAAACCGGATCCGACTCTAATAGCATCCCACCCGAATCTCTCTTCGGCGATTGAAACCACCAGACCAACGCTCAACACCGCCATCAAGTAAACCTCGAGACCCGACCCGATTAAGAAGACGAAATTATTCGATTTTGACCCGGTGAGTGCGGTTAAGAAGAGAGGTAATGAGGAGAAAGCTAAGAGGATGGCGTAGACAAAGATGGAAGTTGCGAATAGCCGCATGAGGTTGGGTTTGAAGGAGGCGACGGCGGAGTGGATTGTCGGGGTGATGTTATGCGAGGCGAGGAGAGAGGAGTGGACAACGGAGAGAGTGGAGATGAGGGAGATGATGTAAGAAGGAATAGAGAAAAGGGCTTTAACACGGATGAGGAAAACGGCGTCGTTTCGAGATTCGTGTCTAACATGGCGAGTTTCGAATTGGGTTGAGGCGAAGTGAGCGAGGGCTTCGAGGTGGCGGATTTGAGAGGTGAGTGGTTGTGTGAAGATGGATTGGTAGATAGTGAGGGTTGAGAGAGGGAGGGTGGTGAAGATGAAGAGCGTTGTGAAGAGGAGTTTGTTTGTGGATAGAATGGTGAGTGAGTTGAAGAGAATCTTGAATGGGGAGAAGCAGCGCCAGATAGCGGCGGCGGTGAACATTCTCAATCTGGCTAGTGTCGGCGGATCATGGAGGAGGAAGAGGAAGAAGATTAGTGATGTTTAGGTTTCGATCTTGTTGAGGAAAGTGGAGGTGTGTAGATGGGTGGTAGGGTGGGTGGGGAAAGTAAATTAAATAATCTTACAAAACATATGTTTAGAAAACTCTTTCTTTTGTGAAGGAAACTCATTCTAAAAAATAAAATAGAAAACTTTGTTTAGAAATTTAGAAGGCGAAGGAAAATGCTAATGGAAAGACTTCTTTCATGAGCACTAATAAGTTATAAGTGCTTTTGAATATGGTAAATTATTAGGGTTTGATTCATTTAAATATTTTATTATAAAAGAAGAAAGGAAATACTTTTAGTTAATGAAGTAAAAAGAATAAGGAAGTTTATTATGGAGGACTTAAATTTTTTATTTTTATAATATTTAATTGAGATAATTTATTTGGTCTTAAAAAGGAATTACTCATGATATATCGTCTATATCAGAAGCGAGTTAGGTGCAAACGCCCGAAAGTGATTTAGACATTCAAAAAGGACTAGTTGTGGGATTGGACGCCTGAAATGAGTTTCTCATCCTAAGCGTAGGGTTTAGGCTCGATATCCACGATTTGCCTCATTCAAATACATGGTTTGTGATGTGTCTATGAAATAATTGTCAAGTGATGTCAATTAAGGGCGCCCATTTTCTCCACGATTCAATGGAGAGTCAGTCTTCCTTACTCTCACGCTTCTGTTGAGAAACTTGGGAAATCATTTCCAACCAGGGCCATAGAATCCTTAAAAATGGCCTGACCACTAAGGTCAAAAGGTCATCCATAAATTTCAGAGAAATATACAAAGTCTCTCTAACTCTACATGAGCAATCTCTTTATCTAAACTGTTGTACTTTTAGAAAGTATAATTAGGAGTGTTCAAAACTGAACCGGCCAAATAGAAAACTGCTAGCCGAAAGGAACTGAACCAAATCGAAAACTGCAAAAAAAATCGCATTTGGTTCGAATGTGTTTGGGTTATTTTTTAACAAAATTGCACGATTTGGTTGGTTTGTGATATGTATTTTGCATACTGAACCAAACCAAACAAAGTCGCATTCAGATTTCCAATTTCAATCACTCTAAGGTGAATTTGGTCACCGAATTCATTTAGTTATGCAATGGTTTTTACTTTATAGTATAGATTTTTTTTGTTTGATTTAAATATTTAGTTTGAGTAAGTAAAAAGGTAAATAGAGATTGAGATAGAATGTTAGGTGATAACACATAAAATCCACCACTTTATTAGTTTGATTTGCATATGTTTTAGTGTCGATTTTATATGTTTTTGTAGTGTTATGCTGATAGTGTATTCTTGTTTCAAATATTTAACAGTTGGAGGTCTTTGAATGAAAAAACGATGAAAATGACGAAAACGAGAAGAAAATGCAACTTTTATGTTGTCACGACGGGTACTCTGCTGTCATGACAGTCGTCAGCCCCCGGGGGAGTCAAACCCTTCAACAAAAAGTCAACAAAATGAGGAAGAAAAGTTTGAGTCAGGTGTCAGTTGGCTCGTCAGCAAGAAGACGCATGTCACGGTCATTGTAGTTGCATGTCCCTACTTCATTCAAGGGGAGCATCTGTATCTGGGTTTTTTGTTGCTTGTCTGATCGCATTCATCTTTCATTTAATTTCAATTTGTTAAGTCTCCTTTATGATTACACTTCTCGAAATCAAGTTTGAAAAGATTCATTTTTAGCATCCATAAAACTTTGGTTAGATTTGATATTAATCATGATGTCTTTTGATCAACTGCATGAGCAAGTGAAATAAAAATATTTTTTTATGCTTTTTATTTGAGTTTGAGTCAAAGTAAAATCTCAATGTGCCTTTAAAAACTTGAAATTTTGATATTTTACACGTTTGATTCGAATTATGGAGCTTACACACATTTTGGGATTCTGATCAAACTAGACAGAGGCAAAACTGGATCATTTGATTCAAATCATTTTTTACACTTAATTCAAATCATTTTCCTGATGTTCACTTATGTTTGATTTGATTTGAATCAAATTTTGAACATGATTCAAATCATTACATTTTCAACATTTTTTTGTCAATGTTGTGGCATTTGATTCGAATCAATTTGTATACATGATTCGAATCACGTGGCTCATAATTCGAATAACTATTTCCCTGTTTCGAATAATCTGACTAATTTTTAAATTTTTGTTTTCCTTTTATTCCACTACACTTCTTCATTTGATTCAAATAATAGATTGCTCTTGATTCGAATCTAATTGACTTTTTCAACCATTTCCTATGCTTAATCTCAAGCACATACAAAACCTTTTTGTCATCATTTCAAACATATCATCTATCATTCTGGTCATAATTTTCAGTTTTATTTTAGCAAATAATCAATTTTCTCTATTTTGAGTGTTCAAAGTCTTGCAACGAAATCCTTATATCTTCAACTTCTTATGGTTCAGATCTTGATAATGAAAGCTCTATAATTGATTAAAGGCGGCGCGTCTTGGATATCTTGTTGAGTTTTTAAGGGTGTTAGAAAGATTGAGGTGATTTTCAATGGTTGCGACAAATTCCATTGAAAATAAGTAGGTTCTTCTATCCATAATTGCCTCAGTAGTGACTATGTGGAAGGCTACAAAAAAGGCGGAGTTCTTCTCAGATCTTTATAAATTTTCACAGCTCAAGTAATCAGTATGATCATGGGGTTGATAGCTACACATGAAGGTCTGGAGAAGAATTGGTGATATTGGAAGATCCAAGAAACGTAATTCGAGTAAATATTACATAGAAGTGTTTGACAAGTGTGTTGTATATAAGTCAATATCCAAATAGGAGATTTATTTTCTGAGCTATATTGTGGATTAGTGATTGTATTAACTCTTGAAAATATTTGTCAAATAACAAGGAACTATGTTTCAATGGTAAACATTGAAGAGTGCATGTAGGAAACACAAGAACGAACGCTGAAGCACTATAAGTATCGACATAATTTCTCTCTATTACTCTTGCATTTAACTTTATAGTAATTTCATGCTTAGGTTCTTCAATTCCACCGTATAATATCATTTGTTCATTGATAGAGATTTATTGCGTAAGCGTTAGTTTTGTTGGAATTGGATAACTGGTTAAGCTAGTTCTGTGATTATTAATCTGAAATAAATTGAACTTAGAACTCCATCTATTGAATCATTGTGTAAACACTTCTTGTGCATGATGCAATTAAATCAATCCATACCAAATGTTTCATCATATTAATCTTTGATATTTATGAAACGATTATTTTTAACTTGATCAATTTTTATTAGTATAGTTTTCATTTTCGCATCAAACCTTCCGCTCGCAACTCATTTTGAAAAACACTCTGATTTCGAAAATAACAGTTGAATTTTTTAATCTGGATCTATTCACCCCTTTAGACCGTTTTTCTACTTTGATATTCACACTCAATAATTGGTATAAGTTATTCTTTTGGTTGTGTCTAATCGACATCCAAAAGTTTGTGAATATGTCTGAAGATGACGATCCTAAGGGAGCGTATGATAGAACACCTATTCCCAAGGGTGTTGTCAATGTTGTTAAACATACAAAAGATTAGGATGATGTTGAAACCCAAAAGGCTTCATATTATTTGAAAGCAAGAACATACTTGTTTATGCACTTAATGATAAAGTGTTCTATTCGATTTCACATCATACAAGTGCTAAAGGTATGTAAGATGCTCTCCAAACTCTCGGAGAATGACAAGGATTCTAAAATCAATATGTTTATAGAGGAGTTTGAACTATTTCATATTGAACCCAAAGAATTCGTGGATTCCATGCAAACTAGATTCCTCTATTTAATGAACAAACTACGAGACTTGGGTAAAACCTTTTCCAACGAAGTTTATTCTAACTGTCGAGTACCTAACCACTCCATAACCATCCGAGTTTTTTAAGAAAAAGAAGTTTGAAAATGCACTTGGTACAAGACCAAGGTTTTTGGCTCAAGGAGAGAAGATGAAAGAGAGAAAAGGTATTTAAAGAATGGGTGGTGAATAGAAGGTAGGTTGATGGCGATGTGCAAGGCAATCGACTTACAAGGGTGAAATACATACATGGTTAGCTTGGGGTTTGAAAAATGGTTGATCGATCCTAGTCCCTAAGGATGCTTCTAGTAACGAAACTATAATAAAGAGTGCACATGTGTACATTAGGTTGATGGCGATGCTATGAAGCAATCGACATACAAGGGTGTTTTGAAAATGGCTTAATATCGAATCAAGAATTAGTTCGAAAATGGTTTAGTCTATGCTAGTCCCTAGGGTTTCTCCTAGTAAACAAAACCGCAATCAAAGAAAGCGAGTAAAGTGCATACATCGAAAAGGGAGCGGGGTACATGTAAAGTACACAGGATTGCAAGAAATAAAGGGTATCATTGTCAGGTAGCCCAAGAGGAATCTGTATGTGTGACGTGTCCTAAACTAAGCAATGAAAAAGAGTTCAGACAAAAATCTCCTCTGCTAGGGTTTCTGTATAAATCCAGCCTCCAATGCTCAAGATTGTAACCATAGTCCACCAATTAATTTTTTTTTAGGGTTTTGATTGTTTTATTGTATTTTTGTGTTTTTTTTTTAATAATATGAACAAGATATGAAGAATGTGACAAGATAATATCAACAATAATATATTGACAGAAAAGATAAAGCAAAGATATATAGAATATAAATTAAAGTCGATGGTTAATCATTAATCGGATGAATCGGGTCCACTTTAGTGCTAAACTATCGTAGCACGATTTACGAGGAAAATCATGCTATTGGAGGCTGCTTAACAACGATGTTTGTGCTAACACGATGGAGAAATGATATGCAAATCATTCTCAAAGAATCGTGCCACACAAAAAGAAAAGAGGATAGTCTCGTCTTAGTCACAAACTTTCATCAATTAATCGAAGGTAACCTATCACGATCCCAAAGTATACAAAATGATCTCGATGATCATTCACT